ACTTTATGTCCAGTTTGATTACCTATATTGATTAGATTTCGAAAAGCATCTAATTAATTCGTCTCTCGTGATTTAAATTTGACTTTTGTTATATACTTATATAATTATTCTGCATCTATTTAGGTTTTTTAAGTTCCCTGACATTAACATATATTTGATAATAAGCTTATTTTCCCACAACATGTTTCACACACATTAAGCGAATTAATTTTTCACCGATAACAATCGTTTAAAAACCGGTCATGTTAAACCACAATCACGCCAGTCATTTTTTGTTAATTACTTTACGAACAGATGATAAGGATTTTCTCCTTATACTTAAGTATTTATGATTCACGCAGACAAATTAGTGATATCGTTCTTTACATCGGATAAAAACTATGAATAACTAATTCTCTTGACTTAAATTGATATTTTGGTAGCACGACAATTATTTAAATTGAACAAAGTCGCCAATCGATTCATATTCCGTCTAATAACGAATGTGAAAAAATGCATTTAATTGCGGTAGTATCTAATATTCAAGTCATTGGTTGTGACTATGACTTAAGGATTGCCTACTGTCAATAATCAATTATTTCGTTATTTTATGATAAGTTTTATCGCTTTGTGTTAAAAAATATTTTTATTGACTTTGATTAATATCTCCGCGACGTATAAGTTATATATATATAGTGAGTATATAGTGAGACAAATATGCCATGCATTACTGAATATTTTTGGGATGATAACACCGTCAAATTTATATTGTGCCTATGCGATATCTAATTCAATAAAAATACTGGTTTTTGTTCGCTATGCCCTTAACTAAAACTATGTGGTTTTGATCTTGGGTTGTATACTTTTATAATTAATACTGTTGCTGCTATACCTATTATTATTCTATATTATATTTCTTAATGGATCATCAGTCTCTGTGCTAAAGAATCTATGCCAAGAAATATAAGTTTTCTTTTCTAGATTATCGCATGCTAATACTGTTGACAGTATTCGCTTTGCATCGCATCGCAATTGGAAACTTATTGCACAATAATGCGGAAATTCAAATTTAATGCGCAAAAAAAGATTATATGTAATGTAATATGCCGCAGCCACCGTATTCCCCAGACCTGGCCCCCTGCGATTTCTTTTGTTCCCAAAACTGAAGAGGTACTTGAGAGGACGACGCTTTGCTTCTATTGAGGAGATAAAAACTGCATAGAAGGAAGAACTTAACAAGATCACAAAAATTACTTTTTTGATTGCTTTGAGAATTGGAAAGGGGACATAATAGCTATTCATGAATAAATAAAAACTTTCCTAATAAATACAAAATTCGCGATACTTTTTGAATATATGTATACTGACGGCCCTTGAGGTGACCTGTTTGTGATAACCACTGAGACCGTTATCGCATGATACTCATTAACCTAGGCTTTTGATAAGTGGTGTTTCTCTTTTAGTTCATCAAGGAGCCGGTCATCGTCTTTGCTTTCCTCGTCGAATGTGTGTTTGTGGTTTCTAGTCGACATGCGCCCTTACTGTTGGCATATCTTTCTCACCTGTGACCTTTCCTTTCCATGGTCGCAGTGATCTCACTGAATTGGATGTTGAGGCCAAAGCGTTGTGAATTCCGTTTTAAACTGTTTTTTCGGCCTAGTCATTTTTTTTCCATCATTCATTCCCCTATTGTCTCGTGGGAAGTTCTGAACTCTTCCAAACTTCCAACTTTGAAGTAACATCGGTCAGTTAGATGGCGTCCCTTCGTTCTTGCAATCCACTAATAACAAACACCACCTGATTTAGAGCGAAGTAGAAGGACAGATGCCGCCTCTTTACAATTCGCCTGTGATAGTATCTTGCCCATTTAGTACTCTAGCCAATTGCCTCTCTATAAACGATTAGAGGCCAAACACCTATACAAAAGCTTTTTAGGGCCACCGAAGATCAATATTGTCCAACTTAAGCAGGTTTTTTATTGTGGCCATTCTATCCTATACCTAATGTTTTTATAAAGAAGCAATGGCCGAATTCCCGAAAAATTTATTTAGCCAATACTGCCAGCCTTCAAAATCATATGCAATCTTCTGTAAAGCTGGATTAAAGACTGTCTGCTCTGAATGTCATTTTACATGCCAATGTCATAATCACGAATTGAAATTATATATTTTTAAAGCATGCTGAGAATACTAAAGTACACTTTGTGTTTATTGATCTCAGCACAGTAGCGGCATTATTTTGATCTAAAATTGGTGGTATTTGGTTCTGAGTATGCCTTTAGAGTTAGTCATCCATGTCTTTACAACAAGTGCCTAGACCTATAAACCTCATGGAAAGCCAACGATTATCGAATACTCATGCAATCTGAAGTGATACTTATTATGAAGATTGATTGTTAAATATTATCATTAAGATTGGCCTAAAACAAAATCAAAATTTATTTATTTGTCGTTATATGAAGTTTATGATAAAAACTAATCATTCGAACTGATTTTATAGAACGATAGCTAGGGTGGTTCTACTAGTAAAGAAAATATTATATTCGTTTTATACAAAAATAAATTAATTCTACTCATATTACGTCTAAATATCTTCAGTTTTATACCTTATAGATCTCAGAGGTCTATTTCTAATGTGAGTGATAGATAATTTTTAGAACAAACAAAGGCCACTGAAACCGGCTGCCCGCCTTTTTGTGCACTCGTTCGAATTATGAAACACTACCATAATCATAACCGATATTATACAATAACAAAAAGTTATGGCAGATCAATACCCGTTCGAGATAGGAAACAAACAGTGTTAAAGGCCGGCATATCTGATTATTTCGTGGAGCTATTTCAACCATACTTTAGGATAGTATGGCGTATCTGCAACTTTGTATATGTACTAAGTAACATATTAAAATCTGAAAATTAGCAAGTTTCGACAGCACACACTTCCTCTATAGTATAACTTTATTTCACAACTACACTTATAGAAATAACAAGTAAGGAAGAGCTAAGTTAAGTAAGTAAGAGTATAGAAATGTTGCGAAAGAATTCAACATTCATTGTGTGACGAAATCGTGAATGCACAACAATAAAATTTGGTGTTTCGAATTTCAATAACATACCACTCAGATTGACTGATATTTTCCATAAAATTTTCACTGTCGGAACTGGGGTATCCGGAGCTTGAATAGTTGTAGTCCGATTTTGACAAATTTTGGTTGTATGATGGCATACTTTAAGTGCACTATTTCTCGTTTCCTCTCATTCGCTGGTGCTAGATTTACATATTGAAAAGAAATATAATCAGATGGAATTTTAAATTTTGGTGAATGGGAGGTAGGCGTGGATGTAGTCCGATTTCGCCAATTTGTGCACTATAATATGAAAATATCATAGTAATGTCATGCGCTGAATTTAGTCGATATCGGTCAAGTGGGTCCTGAGATATGGGTTTTCACCTAAATGTAGGTGGTGCCAAGCCCGTCGTCAAAATTTGGAATCCTATAAATCATTCTTGTACCATTTCGGATTTAAAATTTAATGTGTCTGGCGCATTTAGTTATTGATTTATCGCGCTTTTAATAGTTTTTAACAGAGCCGTTATTATACAATAGGATTTTTACTGAATTTGGCTATTGTATCCTGAGGGGTTAAGAGATATGTTCGTTAAACCTTCTAGAGGATTACGCCCGTTTTTTTCCAAAGTTTTAGCCCACCGATGTCTCTTACTACTGCGATGCCCTGTCCAAAACTACAGTTTTATATCTTAATTTAGTAGTTAGTTATGGCATTAATAGATTTTAGTTTAATAGGTCGATTACGCCCATCTAGAAACTCGTCCTCACTTTTTGGCCAAGGAGCACGTGTACCAAGTTTCATTAGCATATCACAATTTTTACTCAAGTTACAGCTTGCACAGACAGTCGGACAGATGGACGGATATCAACTGGTTTCGTTATCCTGATGATTTATGTTATATATATATATATATAACTCCATATCTATACCGATTAGTTTTCGGTGAACAAAATTCCCTTATTATACTCTGTAGCAACATGCTGCTAAAGTATATAAATAATGTAGTGTATTTTGGAATATGAATAAAATTGGTCTAGAACTTGATTTAAACCTCATATCCATAATATACTGATTTCCGTGCCTCTGGTTGATTTTTCTCATGGGTATACATATATATATTTAGCCTCTTTGGTTGAGTTTATATCATATATATCTCATTTGAGTTAATTATCTTGATTTTAATACAAATATATCGGACAAGCAAAACGTAGTGTTGAAACTAAGCGAGTCTACGACCTATAATATAATTTAACATATACCGGGCTGTTATCCTTTCACCTTTCCGTCAAATAATAAATATTGAATTTTTTCTCAACATTTTTGACACGAATTTTTCCACGAACTAACAGTTTATACGAAGTTTGACTCGAATTTTTTCCAAAAAAAAATCTTTCGCCATAGACAGGAACAGGATCAGGACACTATCTATGTTTGTGGCCTGGTGATGGAATACAATTCCTCTCCTATTGGCTCAAGGAGGCCGCTGCTGGGCGATTCCGCCCCGATTCCGTTTCAATTGTTGACAGTACAGATCCAAATTGAGAGTTTGTCCGTCAGGGAATAGCTCATAGTGAACGATTCCCTGCCAATCTCACCAAACCCATAGCAAAACCTTCCTGACTGCTCTTTATACATATAATTATTAATATATTTGGGCAAACGAAATCAAAGAGAAGCTCGGTCAGGCATCTAACAGTGCGGATAGTGCCAGTTATAGTATAAGTATACAAGTACATACCCACCACCAGATATAGCCAATATTAGCCTAAAATACACTCAAAACACACTTCAACTCCCAACATATTTTGAAAATTCCTTATCGAATTTTTTGTGACATAAACTCATCGATTCTTATCATCAGCCTGCATTACCTGTCGAAGGGTGATTCGACAAGTTTTTTTAAAGTATTATGTATATCTTATTCGTACCCCAAAGTAAATTATCAATCAGTAACTTTTTGCGTTTTCGTTAACTATTTAAATCAAAGTTCCTACAAATTCTTAATTTTAAAATATGGTACACTTGAGAATAATTTTTTTTTGATTTTCCATGTCTTTATTTTATTTTAATCATATCACTTTCATCACTTATTTAGTTGCCCAATCCATATGGAGCAGTGCTGCGCACTGGAACATAATAATCACCACTGACGAATTCATAATTGTAGACGGCACCCATTTTCACGCTACTGTATTGGCCACCACATTCTTTTTTAACGGCGTCTTCGTAGTCAGCGCAACGCATGGAGGGGAAGTTGTTATCGCGTACGGCTTCAGCGTAGTATATAATAGAGCGACCATGACTGCAGGAACCAGTCAAGTCAATGCCACAACCCGGTTGCTTCTTGCCACCGTTTGGGTAGAAAGCGCCTTTGCCAATTGGTTTCAAGAAACCCAATTTTCCACCATTTGTCTGGATTGATTCAACGTAAAGAGCATCATCCGAGTTGAGACGTTTGTTAGGCTTGTTGTAACTGAAGAGTGGGAGAGCAGGATCCAGACCGACAATGCCATGAATTTTGCCAGCACCGACATTCTTGCCAACATACCCGGCAACTTGAGCACCCAAACTGTGACCAATCACTTCGAGAGTTTCCAAATTCAAACCATTACTGCGAGCCATGTAATCAATCATACTGGCAACCTTATTTCCGACACCGGGAACAGCAGCGACGGATGAGACATACTCAACAGAACGTGCACGTCCCCAGTCAACAACGATAATGTTATAGTCACCATGTGACAGCCAAGCGTCACGAATTCTGGTATTCATATCGGCTTCATAACCCTGGGTCCAGCCATGAATCAGAAACCGTGTTGGATGATCGGCATTGAAATTTGATTTCGAAATGGATATCTTGTCAGCGGTAATTTTTTGTCCATCATAATGATTCGACTGGGTGTACAGGTAATAGGTGACTGGGGAAAGACTCAAAGCACGTCCTTCAATTTCTTCATTCTTCTCATATTCTGCCAAAAGGTTCTCACCTTCTTCAGTAGTCATCCAGACTAAGGAACCATCAATCTGGGGTACATACCAGCCATTCTCTCCACTGACGCGACCGTTGTCGTCATCTTCGAGAGGAGCAGCCGAAACTAGTTGGCAGAATTATAAGCAATTTAGTAAATTATGTGAATTTTGAAAGATTCTTTAAAAGTTACCTGTTAGCGCGAAAATTGTCAAAAGCACAAGACACTTCATTTCACAAAGGCTGTGGTACTAATAATGACTTTCAACAAAATGTGCCCAGGTTTTATATATTTTCCATCGGTGCATTTTTGTAGCTTTCAAAATATATTTCCACTTTAGATAAGTTAAAGAAATTAATACTTGTATCGATTATCAATTTCCTGATTGTGTCTTAGGTTAGGTATTATAATTGAGTCAATGTTACAGAAAGTTTGGGCGATAAAACTTGTTTCGAGGGTATCGAACGGTAGGCAATATTGCGGTTCATAATAGATAATTAAACATAATTTAGACAACGATACGTAAGCAAGATTTGAAGTGTTTTGATTAAGTTGTTTACTTCTTTCTTTTCAACCAATGAAATACTAACAAAAGTGGGTGTGAGTGCCGTACTTGCTGATAACCGTCTAATAATTTTAAATGCGTGCGTGGAGTTGTGAGAAGATATTTCCGCGCAAAATTTTGTGCGCGGCAATGGACCGATTGTGCCCATCAATGACATGTTATCGCTTTGACGGGCAAATGGACAGACGAACATCTGGAATCCAACTTCTCTTGCTATCCTGATCATATCTATATATGTATACATAATAAGTAAGGAAGGGCTAAGCTCAGGTGTAACCGAACGTTTTAAACTCTTGCAATTTGCAAGAACCAAAGCAGGGAAAATATGGTATCTTAAGGTGTTAAAAAACGTTGCGAAACAATTCAACATTCATTATTCGATGAAATTGTAAATGGATGACTATCAAATTTGGTATTTTATTAAGTTATATTATAGGATACAGACTCACTTCGTTTTATTACTATATTTTATTTACCGTCAACCAAATATTTCTTAAAATTACCTTTAAATAAGATATATGGGATATAAACACAACTGAAGAAGCTCAATTTATCATAATGAGTTGATGTGAAAATATTTTGTCATGTGGAAAGTCTGAAATTATTATACAGGCTATATTGGAGGCAGAAAAAGGGATGGGTTGCTTGAATAATTTTGACTTTTAACTTTTGATTTTATAAATATATATAATACACAGATTGAACGACATGTTCGGCAGAAGGTATAGGTATTATTTGGGAGTTGGGGTATTTGTAGACTAACTTCGTATATTTTCGGCATTAAACTATAGTTATGTATGTACCCGTAGATATATATTATAAATATTATACGTTAAATTACAGTATATTCAATATTATACGGTCGGTTAATTTTGCTAAGATATCTTACATATGGCATAAAGCCAACCGGAAGTTTGAAAATCTTTTATTAGATAAATGGATGATTGGGGTAATATTGACCGGATTTTATCAATTTTTGGCAATACAACATACTATTAACAGAATAAAATGCTCCCTGAGTTTCATTAAGGTACCTCACATACCATCACCAACATATGTGGAGAAATCAACCGGATGTTTGAAAATACTGTGATTAGTTATATGGAGGCTAGGCTAAGTTTTCACCCCTAATTCTAGGCACAAAGATGAAACATTATAAGGAAAATACATCCACTTAATTTTGTTAAAACAGCTCACATATTGGCCGATATACGCGGTAAAAAGTCATCCGGAAGTTCGAAAATCTTTATATTAGATATATCTTTATACAAGGTGCGTTCCAAAGTAAACAGGACAGAACAGGAAAAAAAAGACAGAACAAAGGGTTTTATCGGCAAAATCAATTAATTTTATTCAAAATAGTCTTAGTACAGCTTTTTGCACGGTCCAAAAACATGCCGAACGAGTAGATATATATTCAACCCAGTTTTGGCAGAAAAATACTTCTTTCGAATTGCAATAATATATTTCACAGATTGACCATTATTTCCGGTAAAAAGTTAGCATGAGACACTGGGGTCCCCATATTCCGTAACTGGGGGCTTGAACAGTAATTGTCCGAGTTTAACAATTCTTATATTTGCGATGGTATACTTCAAAAGCACTATTTGTGCAAAGTCTTGTCCGAATATATTCTTTGGTGCTGGATTTGTATACAGGAAAGTGAAAGAATCATATGGAATTTAAAATTGTGCCATATGGGAAGTAGGCGTGGTTCTAGTCCGATTTTGCACATTTTCGCACTGTGTCATAAGAATGTTAGGAAAACGAAACTGTTAAAAGCGGTCCAACAGGTTGCGAGATATGGGCTTTCCCTTAGAGGTGGGCGGTGCCTCGCGAATCGTCCAATTTTTGTTTTGGATCCTTTAAATCTTTAGCTTTTTAACTTTTAGTTTTTGTTTTAATCAAAACCGTTATATAAGGAGTCGGCGGGGTTATCACCCGATTTCCCCCATTTTCATACTGTCGATAGGGGTGCCAAAAGTATTTGAACTGAGCGAATGTGATTACATATTTAATTCGTTATATCAAATAACAGTCTTCAACCTTATTTTGGGGCTTAGTTATAGCAATTTATTGGTTTTCGATTAATGGTCAATGGTCCGATTACGCCCGCCTAAAATGTGTGTACTAAGTTTCACCAAGATATGTCAATTTTTAGTCAAGTTACCTTTACTTTACAAGTCACTCGGATTTCAACTACTCTCGTCATCCTGTTCATTTATGTATTTATAACCCTATATCTAACTTGATTAGTTTTGGGTGAAACAATGGCGGAAATTCTTTGATTTTGAAATTCCACTGAAGAGAAGAATTCGATCGCCTTAGGTCAATATTTTGGGGGCTTTAAAGTGATGAATTTGAACGAAAAGCAGCCACTTTTATACTCGCGAAAAATGCAATAGAGAGTAATAATTTTGTTCACTTAACGGTTGTTTGTATCACCTAAAACTAATCGTGATAGATATGGAGTTATATTTGTATATATATATGATTAGGATGACAAGACGAGTTGAAATTTGAGTGAGTCTGCGTGCGCAAGCGATAAAAGTAAAAATGAATGAAACTTGGTACATACATTCCCTAGTACCCAAGTGAGTACTGCAGATGTGCGAAATCGGAGCACTGCCACGCCCAAAAAACGCAAGTATTCGAAAACCCATTAAGAGTCATAAATAAGCTCAAAATTAAGATACAAAACAGCAATTGGGAGCAGGGGATTACAGTGGCAAGAAGCGTATTTGGTTTGAAAATATTTAAAAAGTGGGCGTGATCCCGCCTTATAATAAGTTTAATGTACATATATCCTAAACTATTCAAGCCATTATAATTAAATTCTCTGAAAGCATGCCTTTTTGGCATCCCTACTCACCCTGTGAACATGGATGAATTCGGATTATATTCCCGCTACTAAAAGTGCAATAAGTCTATAATTAAATACACCAGAGACATAAAATTTTACACGCAAGATGGTACAAAGGTCGATTTTAACAATGGGCGTAGCACCGCCAACATTTAGATGAAAATCCATTGCTCGGGACTTACTAAACCGATTTCAACCAAATTTAGCACAAAATATTATTTTGGCATTTCCATTTTACAGTGCGAAAATAGGCGAAACCACACCTACTTCTTATATAACACAACTTTAAATTCATCTGATTTTGTCTATTTCCTGTATACAAATCAAGAACCAATAGTGCCTTTTGAATGCGCTACCCTATGACCAAAAATTTTCTAAATCGGACTAAAACTATTCAAGCCCTGAGATAACGAATACGATATTAGTTGTTTTTCTAATAACAGTGCATCTTTATGCCTAAAAAGGATAAAGTCACTCCTTTGCTTCTTATATATTGCCGATGGTATGTGAAGTATCTTAATGAAGCTCAGAGAGCATCTTTTTCTATTAATTAGATGTAGTAATGCTAAAAGTGGATAAAATCGGGTCAATACTACCCGTATCTCCCATGGGTTTATATCGTATATATTGGTCCATACGTAAAATATCTTAGAAAAATTAACTGAACGTATAATAATGTATATACTTTAGTTTAATGCTGAAAATATGTGAATTTGGTCCACAAATTACCTAAACTGCCTTATGATACAATACATATAATTACGCTGTATGTCGCCGACTTTGATCTCTGCTCCTTTTTCATTACAAGAGTAAAAAATGTACGGTTACACCCTTCCTTACTTGTTTAATGTAAAATTGTGCAGCACCTGAAAGTATATCCCCGCCTTTGATCTTTTCCAATTGGTAGAGTATAAAATGTTAGGTTGCACCCGAAATTAGACCTTCCTTACTTGCTGCTTTACGCTTTATAAATAATTAGCGAAGATAATAGGATAGTGTTACCCGCACCGGGGTAGCGATATATCGTGGACCTATATTCATGAATACATATAATACAAAGACAAAAGAAAATGTAGAAGTGATGCTTTAAGCAGATGAGTAAAAAATAAAATATATTGTACTGAAATTCTAAATATTTGTGACATTTCACACGCTTCTCTTTAAAAATTTTTTTTTGGTGTTATCAATATTAAATTCGTTTTAATAACGGAAATCAAAGAAATTCAACGGTACATAAAAATTATATATTTTTGATTGCTTATGATCACTGAAAAGATTAGTTATCATACTTCAATCAATACTTGAGGAACCACAACGAAATATAATTAAATAGAAAAAATAATTGTAAAATTGTATAACATAAATAAAATTGTACATATAGCGTTTCTCAATTTGTTTTGTTTTGAACTTTACTTTCTAATTACATTCAGGGAACAGGGTATATAAAGATTGCCACGAAATTTGTAGCACTCAGAAAAAAACGTCGGAGACCATATAAACAAGAAAAAACGTTAACTTCGGTTGCACCCAAGATGGAATACCCTTCACAAATAACGAAGTTTCCATAAAGGAACTTGATTTTTATGGTTCAGTTTGTATGACAGCTATATGATATATTGTAGAAAATAATCTATGCCATATCAATGATCAGCGTGACGAGTTGAGTCGATTTAGCGTCCGTCTGTCTGTCTGTATCTACGTTAACTAGTCCCTCATTTTTTCAGATATCGATCTATAGCATACAGTGCCAAACGAACTGAATGATCGAAATCAAATCCTGGTATGCAAACGTTGTTTATTTGACACGACATTATTTCCTAAGGCAACCGTACAATCTGCAAACAAATTTTTGAGATCGAATCATTATAACATATAGCTATACAAATGGAACTATTAAAATAAATTAC